CCTGTAGGGCGTCCTTTTTGACTTGCTTTGAACCTTACTTTTTAATTCGTGGCCTTTAAGAAGAAAGTAAGAAGCATTGCATCTTCTCATATCAATTCCTCTTTCACATTTCGCACTAAATGCACTAAATCAAGTAAAAAGATCAGTTCATACTAAGCAAGGAAACTTATTTGTCGCGGCATCACTCGACTAAGAATCTGAGTCCGACCCCGATCCATACTTAGTAGACTGTTTACAAAGGTATTCCTAATGTGCTTGAAGAGCTGCCTCCTTCCAAAGAAGGAGCTGGTCCCGTCAATATATTGTCTGCTTTGGTTGGAGCCTCACGGTTTTGTTCCTTCTTGAGAGAAAAGGCCTATTGACAGGTAGAGGAGACTAGTGTGCTTATAAGATGGAAATGGGAGTCCTTCCCTGGTCTATGTGGGATTAATCCAACATAACCTCCTAGCGGACTAGGCCACAACAGTGGAAGAGTTTACCGAACGACCCTCCTTCTAGCATCAAATTTCGCAACGCCTGTCCCCTCGCACCTCGTCAATATATTGTCTGCTTTGTCAGAACCTCACGATTTTGTTCCTCCTCGAGGAAAAAGGCCTATTGACAAGTAGAGGGGCTAGTACGCTTATAAGGTGGAAGTAAGAGTCCCTCCCTAATCGATGTGGGATTGACCCAATAACTAACAACCTCAATGTCTATTTTGTAATACCCTTTTATAATTAGGGTTATGTTATGTGACCAAAAGAATATATAAGAATATAAATTTATAGCGTCGATATAAAACTTGAAGGGACATGTAATGAATTTAAACTACACATTTTTAAAATTATAAACACTTTTTAAAACTTTTTTTTGGGTGGGGGAGGGGGGCCGTAAATTTGTATATAATAGTAAATTAAGAGCAAATTACATCAATAATTTCAGTAATTTATCTCTTGTATCATTTTGATTATTGAAATTTTAATTAGCACAATTTTGATCCTTAATTTTAGAATTTTTATTAATTTGGTTCAATTAATAAAGCTGATTAAAGTTTTTGAAAAAAAGAATGATCACTGAGTTTGTTGGAATTAACTTACTGAGTAAGTTTTTTGCTGATTAATAAAATTGTTCAACTCAGTAAGTTTTTTTAATTCACCCAAAAAACTTACTGAGTTGAACAATTTTATAATTTTGCCTATAAAACATAATACATATTATTTATGTGCACATTTTTCACCAAAAAATACTAATAATTGTAATTAATTAGATGAATGGGTGTTTTGGAAAGATGGTTAACAGTTACTTTTTGACTTTTTTTTTAACTTTTTTGTGAAAGTGGGAAGTGGGTTAAAAGCTAGGAAGTGACTTTTAACGCACTTCCCAAAATAGCTCTCAGGCCTCGTTTGGGAATATACTATTTTAGTAACTTTTTGATTTTTTACAAAAGGATATGCAGAAAAGTAAAGAAAGTAATCTGACAACTTATAATAACTTTTTAACTTTTTGAGTATATGTATAGTTGACAAATGAGGCCTAAATTGAGGCAAAATCATAAATTTATAGCCAAAATTTAATCAATTAAAATTATATAGATCAAAATGACGAAAAAATTAAAATACAAAGACCACTGATATAATTTACTCAATAATTAGTAGACATTTTGGTGAATTCTTTATTAGTAGGCTTGGGACTTAGGAGTTTGTTCCTCTCTAGGTCACAAGTTCAAAATCTCTTAGCTGCTATCAATCTTTGTGTTGAGTCAGTCTATACAGAGCTTTGCTCTGACTTTAAATGGGCCCCCACTAGTGGACGGTGGAATTGTTCCCCAAAAATTAGTCGAAGTGCGCACAAGCTAATCTGGACACCTGAGTTATCAAAAAAACAAAAAATAAAAAAGGATCACATTGGATCACATTGAGGGCGGTGATCTTTGCAAGGCGATCCGGCTATTCATGTTATTCGTTATGGAACATACTTATCATATACTTTTGATCACATTTTGCAAGATGCTTCTGTGAAGGGGCGTCAATTTTTTCAATTTCAAATATCTCAAACGGCCTGTCTTGACAACTGAGTCACACATGGTCTGGCTCTCATGGCATGCCACACTGCTGGGTTATCTGTTTGGATCGAAGAAGTTCCTTCTTCTCTTTTGTCAATTGGCACTGTAATTTGTTCTGGTTTGGCAATACATTCTTAAAAAAATAAAATAAAATCACTAAAAAAAAATTTTAATATATATTTTCTTTATTGGTAGAAAATTAAGCCTAAGTTTGTTTGATGACAATAGGGAGGCTTGACTAAAATTTTTCAGTCCTATTTTTTCTTGCTTCTCGTGTGGTGTCGTGTGAACCGTCCGACAGTTTAACAAATTTTCAACCCACCACCATCACAAATTTCATAACAATCATCATCACGCAACACTTTGTTTCAAACAAAGAAAATGATGAGCTCAAAAAACAAAGAAAATGATGACGATAAAATGATGTTGTTGGGTCGTCAGCAGGACTAGAATACAAATAAAATATACAATTTGTCGGTTTGAGTTTAAAATTAAAGTATTGTGCAATTTTTTAATGATGTTTTTTTTATTATTATTATTATTTTTTAACTTCAAAGGTTGATAGTGGAAGACTCAAAAATTGTTGAAAGACGGAGCATTCAAGAATTTATTTTAGATTTTTAGGAACCAAAATAAAATTATATTGATTTTCTAGAATGCTAATTTTTATTATATATCATCAAAATAGCATAGGCCAAGTGACATTTTTGTGAAGTTAGGGAGGTTAAGGTAAAATTAGACAAATTTTGAAGAGGTTAAAGTAAAACTATATAGATTTTAAAGAGGTCAAAATGTTATTTTTTAAAAATATTTAAAATAGGATAGATCAAATGCTAGTATAGCTTAGTAGGTACAGCTTGGGACTTAGAGATATACTACCTTCAAATCTCAACTCTTTCTAGGTGCTATTAATTTCTTAGGGTCACGCTCGCGAACTTTGCTAGAGACTTTCTCTATCTATGTGGAGCAGACGTTTTGTATGAGTTTCGAGACTAGCCGAGATGTGCGTAAACTAATCCAAATATTCATCATCAAAAAAAAAAAAAAAGATTTTGGAAGATTGGGAGCTGTGGTTGCAGCCTCATTGTGTCCGCTAAATTGTTAGATTATCACAACAAAATTATTAGAGAATTCGAACCCATTTCTACAAAAGCCTTTTTTGGAAGTGAAATTCATCAATTGGCCATTATGGTATTTAGGGAAGTTGGTAAAAAGTTGACTTTTAACTTTTTAACTTTTTTGTGTAAAAAAACTAAAAAGCTGACTTTTTACCAAAGTTTTCAAAAGACTCCATTGTGCGCATCCAAAGTTCACTAAACCATGAATGGGCTTGTTGATTATTACAAAAAATAAAAATAAAATAAATAAATAATAATAATAATTATTATTATTATAAAGGGTTGGCGGGGGTAATGAATCATTTATGTGGTTAGAATACATGCCAAGATCAATTTTCTTGTGAAATGTTATTTTCATTTAGAGATAATGATGCATTTGTAAGATCTTTTGTAAAATGAATGCATTAACACTACTTGATTAAAGCCGCCACGAAATATTGCGATATAAGATACAAATATTGCGGACAGGGATGGCAATGCGTTAGGTTTTTTTTCAGATTTCGCGGGTTTGACAAATTATCTTTTAGTAATTTCTTTTGTTAAATCTTTTTTAATGAAATTTTCACTTTTTAAGTTTTACTATATGGAAGTAAAAAGTGAAAATTATTTTTTTTCAAATATCCACTAAAGCCAAAAAGAATTAGAATAAAATTATTATTATTTTTTTTAAATCTTTAGTGAGACATTTTTGGATTTTTTTCACCAAAAAAAAAAAATTAAAAAAATTTTACATCCTTCTAGGCTAGATAAATATAAAAAATGAAATTTTGAAACAATTGAAAAGGACTTTTTACCACGTCAAACAAATAACACTGATTTCTTATTGTCCCTCATGTTTTACAATATTGAATCTCAATGAGGCCAGCCAAACACATATTTCAACCTTTTAGATTTTTGTATAACAAAACAAAATATAGATTAACCAAAAAATCTAATATAAGATTCTAAAAAAGACAAGCAGTTTCTATCAAGACCACGGAAACTTTAGGTGCCATACGCGGCGTCGTAATCATGTTGTGTCATTTTATTAGTTTAAAATTATTTTAATAGTAATTCAATTCTAATTCATTTAGATTGATTATTTGATGACCTTGAAATATTGTTCTACACCATTTATTACTTACACTTGTAAAGTTATTTTTTACAAAGTTAACAAAAAGTATTGTGTCCCACTATTTTAACTAATAAATATCAAGTGGGCACACAACATGGACTTGCCGAAGACCACCAAATAATCTTTCAGTCATTTCTAATTTCGTATAATCATATTATGTCATTTTCGGTCCCTATACTCTTTGTGTCATTTTAATGTGTTATGTCAAAAAACTTCACCTAAATTAAAAAATGTCAAGTATTAATTTCTCCCAAGTTAAATTCAATGTAACACATGTTGGAATTATTCATAAAAATATTTAATTTCAACTTAATTCTATTTTCCTAATTTACAAAAATTATATATCAGTATTATATTTTTAACTAGATTAACTCTAAAATAGTAGGGGAAAATTTCATTATTTTCAATTAAAAACAAAAAATAAAACTATATTATATTAACCTTAAAAAAGCCTATTTTACAATCCTTTTAATCAATTAAATGGAATTACACTGGTGTGGGCTTAGCAAGACTTGAGGTGTGCTGCATTTGATGTGGGCTTGTCTGTTTAAGATAGATCTGGGCCGGCCCATCCAAAGATTCTTAGAAAAATTACTTATTATCTTATTAGTGTTACTAATGCTGAATTTTTTTGCTGATGATTGTAGGGGGGTGATTCAATTTGAAGAGTAAAATTGTCTTTTTATAGCCGTATTAGCCTTCCAAATATCAAAGAGTCTCAGTGATATATTACAAATGTCATTAGATGTTTGTATATGTTGTTTATCAACTCACTTCTTCAATTACATTGGACAAAACTAACACAATAAAATCTCGAAGTTCAATAGTTGTTATAGAGAATAGAGTTTTAGCCTCATCTACGAATACAAAAATCGATCACAAAATTAGACACACAATACACAAAGATAAATAAGATTTTTCAAGAATCAAGAGTAAACCACACTAACAAGCCTAGTAAAATCTTATTTATTCCAATGTATTTTGTGTCAGATTGTATGATCAGTTTTTGTATTTATAACAGAACTAAGTTGAAAAGCACGAGCTCAAATGGAAAGCCGACTTCAAGTGGCAATGCTTCTTCCATTGTTGTTGAAAGCCATCCTCTGCTTCTGAGCCTCAGTGGGTATTTTCACATCCGTAGCCAACCCAACTGCCTGGAGAAACCTCACTGCATACCAAGTCATATCAATCTGCCACCATTCTAGTCCGTGGCGAGCAGAGAACTCGAAAGCATGGTGGTTGTTGTGCCATCCCTCTCCAAATGCAAGCAATGCCACCCACCTGACTCATTCAAAATAAAAGCTAATAGAAAACCCGATCCAAATTACAACGAAAATTTTATACAATAAAAGGAAGCAGTGCAGGAAATGCACCAGTTGTTCCTGGAAAGATCGCCAGTGTCCCATGCTTGCTTTCCCCACACATGACAAGCTGAGTTCACTAGCCAAGTGATGTGGTACACCCATACAACCCTCACACCCTGCATTGCCAATATGATATAATGACTAAGTTCCCACAAAGAAATGTTTACACTACTATGCCAATCTTCACTGCTAAATTCAAATTCAACAGTTGCTTCCTTTATTTTGAAGTATGGAACCAACTTGCCATAATATGTTGTTCGGTTCGTGGGGCCCACATCGATGATTTGATTTGTTGGTTTATGTGTGTACAATGTTCATCATCCAGAAAAAAAAATAAAAAATAAAAATTTAGATTGATCCGATAATTATAATCATATGATTTTCTCATGTTTTTCTTTTAAAAAATAGAAATTTAGTTTCAAAATTATATATACGCAAAGGGACTTAAATGATCAAATTGAATCATCAAAGTGGACCCGTGGTGGGCCTCATACACCCAGACAACACCATCGAGTCCAAATTTGAACCAAAGATAATCCTTCAAAAAGGTTCAGATAACGCTTGAGGGTTGAGGCTTTTTTTTGAAGCAAAGAGAGAGGTTGGCTGGTGCTTTTTTTGTGTATTAGCCAGTGAAAGGCTTGCTTGACTATAAATAGATTAGTAATAAGGTATATGAAATTACTAAAAATGTCATTCTGGTTTTTGTAGTTTTATACGGATACTGCCAAGAGGTATAGAATCAAAATTGGAGTGAGTCGCTGTGATTCAACCGCTTTTTGTTTTTTTAGTTTATTGCTGGGGTTTATAACCTCAGGATAAGAGTTCAAAATATCATTCATCAAGAAATTCCAAACACATGGTCCCAGCTCCGAGCCTCAAATTAAGAAAACCACTACTTTCATTTGGGTGTGGGACCATCCTTTGTTGGGTGGTGATATCCACTAGTTCTAGTTGAATAGCCAGAAAGAAAATCAAAATGTGATACAATTAGTCCACGAACACATAAATCAGACACAAAATATATATGAACATATAAGATTTTTTAAAAGTAGACCACGTTAACAAACTTTGTAAAAATTTGTTCATTCATGTGTATTTTGTATCTGATTCTATGATTGGTTTTTGTGTTTATATCAAGAACTGAATGTGACAACACAACGACCAATCAATTAAAATTAGTGGTGTCAAATGAATATACTGATACAATGGATGAAGGCATGGTGAATAGGGCAATTTTTTTGGTACATCGGAGGCTGCAGCCTAAGGAGAGGGAGTCTTGCCTATCATATGTAATAATCCTGTTTTATTGTGGAACAATAATTCAAAAAAAATCTTTGAAAGGGGTAGGTCTTCTATGAAGACAGAAACCGATCGCAGAACTTAACACAACCATCTCACGTTGGTTCTATGATCGATTTCTGATGTGAATAAGTTTTGTCCGGTTCTTTGATCGGTTTCTGTGTTGTTAGATTTTTTGTTAAGAGGACAGATAGATAATCCTCCTTACCATTCCCCAAACAATGAAGGGAAGTCCTCCCATTGCATAGAGCAGAACTGCAAGTGCAATTGGATGTACAACATAAGTCCTCTGTAGAAACCTATAGAATGGTTGCTTCTCTAAATCCCCAACATTGTTGGGCATTCCACACTGCAAATACCCCATTACATTGATCAGCAAAAACATGCACACCATGTGTTTGTCTGAAATGAAAGAGAAAGAGAGAAACAGAGAGTCAAATTCATACCCTTTCAATGACAGTATCAGTAGCAAAGAGCCAACTAATGTGACTAAACCAAAACCCTTCAACAGGGCTATGTGGGTCTCTCTCAGAATCACAAAACTGGTGATGATATCTATGCGTACTCACCCAATCAATCGGATTCCCCTGCAAAAAAATAAAACCCAAATTCACCAATTAACAAACAATGGAATCGAATCGAAGCCAACAATATCAAAATTTTATTTATCTTACCTGAAGTGCTTGAGCACCGCAATAAGCACAGAAGTATTCGAGCCATTTGGGAAGCTTGAAGCTCCGGTGAGAGAGATTCCTATGGAAGGAAAGAGTAATACCCAGAAGCCCAGTCACAACATAGAGTCCCAGGGCGACCCAGAAAGCACCCCAATTGAATGTAAAAGGTGCTAAAAAACAGAGCAAATGCATGAAAACTACAACACTGGCGGTGCCGATGTCCCTGGAATTCCAATTCCGACCCCAGTACACGCTCCTCCGCCGCTTCACGACCACGTCGGAGAGCGTAATTGTCCCAAAATTGGACTCTGGAAAACTCTCCGACGCAGATATGGGCGTTGCAGTGAGAATTGGCAATGGTCTCTTACCATGATTGGTTCTTGAAGATGTGAAGGTGTGGACTAAATTACTTTCAATTACAGAGTGTGCGAGGTTTGTACGGCGGCGGAGGGTGGTCCGTCGAAGTCGGTGAGGTTGCGGGGAAACAGAGTATGGTTTGGCATTGGGTGGCAGCGAAATTAGAGCCATAGAAGCGTTGGTTTGCTTGGATCGGACCCTTTTTAGTGTGTTCGTTGAATTGGATTGTGGGATTGTAGTTGAAGAGATTTCATAGTCAGAAATGGAAGGCGAGGAGGTGAGAAGGAGGTGGTGGGTTTTGGGTTAGGAAACGAAACTTTAGATAGCGAGTTGGGGTTGCTGAAATGAGATCCAGACAATTTTTTAGTTGGGCTTCACACAGATTATGCACATTACGGCTTTGTCGCATCCTATCATACGTGCTCTACACACAGATTTCTTTTGTATGTTTGTGGTTGCGTTTGTATTTGTCCGTCAATTCGACAGATGTAGATGGAGCGAATTGACGGTTTGGCGGATGGATGCGAATCGATTTGGTGGTTTAAAATTTTATAAATTTTCAATATAATTTCACTTTTGCACTTTCTCAAAAAAAAAAAGAAAAAGAAAGAATTAAAGTCGTATTACAGTCAATGACTTAAAAAATTATTACAATCACTGAATGCCTCTTTCAAAGCAAGAAAGTTTGAAACTTTAGAATATCACAATCACTACAGCCTCATCCACATAACTACAATCACAGCAATGCCTCATCCACATAAAGTATTACAATTTGTGGTTCTTAAAATATAAAAAAAAATTCAAAACACACAAAAATCATGAACAGAAGCAGTAGTAAAGAGTGTATGTCTCTGTATTTTACATCGTATTATCTGTTTTTGAAAACAAAACCAACACAGCATATATCATATTTTCTATTTATTATTTTAGAGGTAGATTTGCAAACAAAAAAATATAATAAATATTACGTTTATTTTTTTTCAATTCAAAAAGATATTTAAGTTGAAAACTTTTTTCGACAGAATATTTAAACTCTTTTTTAATTGAAAACAAAACAGAATATTTAAAGAAAACTGAAAAACAAAGTCTTATAAATTACTAGGGGTGCTTCACGGTTTGGCGTTCGTTTGCGGTTAAAGAAATTCTCAAATCCCCATTCGTCCGCCAGATTGGCAGATTAGAGAAAATCAATCCGCAACCGTTCGCACTCTCATCAACGCATCTCTCAAAATGTGACGATTCAGTTCGGTTCGGTGGTTTTACGGATCGGTATATCCGCTGCTCACCTCTAATATCAACTTCTATATATTTTAATATAGAGTATTCTGACCCAATTATGTGTAAATTAAGGTATTTTTCTTTTGGTGAGTGATTATTCTTTGATTTTTTTGATTATTTTAATTTAGAATTAAAAATCTCATTTGGTTAGATTTTTGATTTTTTTAAATTTTTGTGAGAAAAAAAATAAATAATTATGATTTAAAAATGTGATATTTTATCTTATTAATTTTTAAACTATTTGATCTTTTTATTATTATTTTAGCCCTCAATCCATTTTAGTCTCATACCAAATAAGGCTAGTTTTTCCAGTCTAACGAAACTTCTAAAATAAATTCAATGTAAGGAAAATTAGACGTGAGACTTTAAAAGAACAAACCCTCAAATCTCCAATCCTCAATCAAATCAGCCAAACCCTTAGAATTAACAATCTTTCCTATATATTGCTGTTGCTATATAATAAGAAGTCATTTGGAAATTCTATGACTTATTGTGGTATCATAAAATAAGTCATTTGAGAAATTCTTTTCAAGTGTGTACCATATAATTTAATTTTATTTTTAATAATATTTAATTATAATTTATTGTAATATTAGTTTTGACTCATTGTAATAATAATTATGATATTATTTTAGTTATGATTCAAGAATTCTTAATTATATTTATAGCGTGTTTAGTTTATATATATTTTTTTATTATTTTTGACTCCAATAAGATTAAGCTATGGCATATAAAAATAATAATTCAAATAATTATAATTGCCTATACACACAGCCATTTATCTGTATATGTTCAATTTAATTAATTCGCAACACTTGTATCTACCACAGTTTCAAATTGTGTGCGATAAAAATTTAATACAAAAACTACTAAATTTCATTATTATTGATTACAATAAAAATCATTGATGAGGTACCAGTTGTCGTTGTCTGGAAACCGTATATATTGGGAAAATTTTCACTTTATGGTGATTTTGAAAATAATTATAATAAGTGATAAGTTTATGAAGTATTAATAATTAAAAATATAATTTTTTCATAACGTAAATATATAACTTTCTAAAATTTCATTATGTTAGGCCTACTAGACAAACTCTGTTTGCTGCTCGTTCGGCTTCTAGCAACAATGTTGTGTTGGTCACATTTGGTTTGCCCTTTTAATCTAAGGCTACATTTGTTTAACAGATTATGTTGGATGGAAATTGTTAGTGGAGATAATAGTTAGTGAAAAATTATTAATGTAAGGATTGTTAGTGTACGAGGAGCAAATATTCGGCAAGCCCGTACTTTTTTCTTCCAAGCTCGCTACTATCCGATCACCTGCGTACAAAAAGGCGGTGAGTTACCCGCGTGATGTGTGGCCGGAAAACCCCTCCGACGATCAAGTTAGAACACACACCAGGGGATAGATAGAGAGAATGAAGGATGTTGAGTATAAGTGTTTCTCTTACCAATATGTTCTCGCCGGCATGGGGGCGCAGATTTGCTTTATATACCTTCTCTCTGCGCTCCAAATTCTACTTCATCGTATCTCGACACATGGCGCTGCCTGCTATCCGCATCTGTCAGCACAACTCTTGCTGGGCACACCTAACCCAACACTGCCCTCCCATTCTCCTGGGAAGCTCTGCAACCGGTCAGTACCAATCTCGGCCATCGTCTGCCATGCTGCGCTTCTTGCCCAAGTATTCCAACA